AGTCAGAATCAACATTCTTTCGGATTCTCTTGTGAGAATGATGAAGATCACCAACCTTCGGCCATCAAGAACAAGAACTGCAATCGCCAATGGTGCATCTACACTTCCATTAGGCGAAATCATCAATTGCCCTTTGAAGATTGGAGATTGCATTATTCCGGTAGACTTTGAAGTGGCAACCATGAACGATTGTTCAACACCTTTCATCCTTGGAAGAACATTCTTGGCGATCGCTGGAGCTATCTTGGACTATCCTCAAAGACGGATATCCTTCACTGGCATAGATCCTTGTGTCTATTACTATGCCGTACCGCCGGGATTCAAAGCGACTCAAATTCGCTACATTCCTTCGGAGAAAATAGAAGAAACAATCAACCATCCGCACCAATTCAATGAAGATGGAGAACACGACTTAAGGAGACCTCATTCACATGCTAAGGGCAACCTCAAGCCTTTAGAAGACCCACCCCTTCCCTAAAAACCCCAAGGTGTCGAGGTATAAGACTTTAAACGAGCGCTATATGGGAGCCAACCCATATTTATGTTTTTTCTGTAATTACTTATCCTAGGATTTTTGCTTTGATTTTAATTTCTAAACATTGTTATTCATTACTTTATCTATCTATGAATTTTTCAGGCTTTTACAAAAATTTATAAAAATACAAAAAATGTGTTTTTGAGAAGAACGATGAAAACGGAGATGGAGATACTTGTTCTAGTTTATGTATCAATAGGAGCACCATTGCAGCCCTGAAGCCTTTGACACTTAGAAAGCACATAGACGACAGTCTTATGAAGCCACACGATGAAGAAGAACATAATTTGCTATTACGGTTTGCAAGTTATGACCAATTTACCAAGACGTCAAGAAAGACTACGAAGCTACATGTTGCTACTTTCAAGCTTTTCCTCAGACCACGCCACGAAGAATCAGGCGATTATATTTATACCACTGGAAAGATCTCCTTCTCAAGATTCCGTAGCATCTTTCGGACCTCAATTCCGATGAGTATAGACGAAGAAAACGCTTGTTGAAAAAATGCATAGACCACAACCTCGACAACGGGTCGAGCAATCGACCGTTGTACGCGACCGGTGCTTTGCCCCGCGTAACTCGACATCGGGTCATCACACCGTTCCAAATCGCGATCGATGTTGGAGCGCAA